AGGTCGTATAACAGCGCTAAGCCTCATTTTCATGCCTGTAAAATAGGGCAATAATACCTAACACCTAGAGGGTAGATGAGGAGTAAATGAGATGGAGCATCGCAAGTCCTTCGCACTCAGAGATGTCGCTCTTAGTAACTTGCTGGGCAGAAAGCAAGATCCATGTCTGTCATATGCTCTGCAGGACAACGCCTGACCCATAGTAGATTCTCCATAAACATTAGTCTAATAAATGTTAGTTGAAGTTCCGCTAAAAAAAAGAAAAAGGCTGGGGGGATTCAGATTCAGAGAGGGTTCATGGTCAAATACATTGGGCAAATTCTGGACTTGAGCAAGTTGATCAGATTTCTTTACTTCAGGATATTGCAGAGCCTTAAATATGCTAAAAGGACATGTCCAAAAAGGTGTAATCGGGCCACCTGGGTGGCTCAGTCAGTTAAGCGTCTGACTCTTGGCTTTGGCTCGGGTTATGATCTCAGGGTCATGAGATCAAGCCTTGTGTCAGGCTCTGTGCTCAGTGGAGAATCTGCTAGATTCTCTCTCTCTCCCTCTGCCCCTCCCCCTGCTCGTTCAGTCTCTCTCTCTCTCTCTCGCAAATAAATGAATCTTAAAAAAAGGGGGAGGTGTTATCATTTGCAGCATTTCCCATTCTAGAGAGAGCATCTCATGGGACCAGTGTCCTTGGGAGCAGACTTGGAGAAGCGAACCAGCACTTGGGTAATGCTCTGGGGGTTAGAGGTAGAGCAGGGCTGAGGCTGAAGTCGGGCCTGGGAACAAGATAGGGTAGCAAGTCAGAGAGAATGGGATCTAGGAGGTTGTCTTTTGATTCATTCATTCAATACTTACTTATTCATTCATTCGAAAAGTACTGACTAGGGGCGCCTGGGTGGCTCAGTCGGTTAAGCATCTGCCTTCGGCTCAGGTCATGATCCCAGGGTCCTGGGATCGAGCCCCGCATCGGGCTCCTTGTTCTGCGGGAAGCCTGCTTCTCCCTCTCCCACTCCCCCTGCTTGTGTTCCCTCTCTCGCTGTCTCTCTCTGTCAAATAAATAAATAAAATCTTAAAAAAAAAAAAAAAGTACTGACTATATTCCAACTACACAAAAGGTGCTGTATTAGATGCGATGGGGGCACAAAATGACCCACATGTGCAGCCCTCCCTGGAGAGCTTCTCAGGACATTTGTACCACCTCACTGCACATGAACTGGGCACCCACAGAGTGCCAGACATGAGGCTGGTGCCAGGAATGCTGTAGAGATTTACCCATGTGCCCTCACTTACGGACGTCCCCAGTCAATGGAGGAAACCAGTCGGTACTCAGGTCATTACAGCATGCCTAGGAGTTCTCCTAGAAGCCAGAGATAAAGCATTCCATGTAGAGGGAACATCAGATACAAAGGTATCAAGTCAAGATAGATATATTTTGTGAATTAACTATGTAAGTAATGCAAATATAAACATGACTACCATATTAAACAATAATAAATGATTCTTTATACCAGTTTGTACATACAGACCTCAGGGTCGCCAGCTCCTATCAGGGGCTTAGGGGTACTGGGTGGAGGAGAATTTGAGAACCCCCAGTGAGGCCAGCTGGGTCACACACCACCTGCAGGCACACAGCCCAGTTAGAACCCAGCATGCAAACTTAAGGCCTGCCTTAAACAGCCTGGGGCCTCTGACCCAATGCCAGAGACAGCTTCTGTCTGTCCTAGCCTCGTTCCTCTGAGAAGTCCGGATCCCCTTACTAGTTCACCTGCCCCAGTCCCTGGTTCACCCCGGGCTCCCCCTAGACTCTCCTGCCCGTTCCGAGATCCAGCACAATCTCATGGGGGGTTGCTCCAGCTCAGAGACACTGACCCAGGTCTCCTGCCCCCTCCCCAGCTCCCTCACCAAACCCTTGTTCCTCTCAACCCTCTTCTTTCCCACCCAGGGAGTAGCTGCAACCTGTCTTTGCCCCTCCTGACTCTAAATGGGCATCCACGGTCTCAGTCATTTCACACAGACAGAGACATCCCTGTGACAAAAGATGTCACCAAGGAGAAAAGAGAAACAGAGAAGGAGCTCCCCCCACCCAAGACTCTGACTAGGTTTGGCATCGTAGTCACAGAACCCCCTCCCCCCACACCAGGTGGGACTGTAGCAAGAGTTACCCCCACCCCCACCTCCTCCCCCAGTCCTCACCAATCCCATCAGACTAGTGTCTGCTTGGAACAGCCCTGCCTGAGAATCCCTGATGACTCAGCACGCGCAGTCCAGGGGCCAGTAACACGTGCCCCACTCCCCATCACCCCCCCGCCCACTGCTGACACTTCCTCCCTGCTGCCCCCCAGATGGCACAATGGTAAAGCTTGAGACTCTTATTTGTATGGCTGCTCCTGCCATGCACCACCCCCCCCCCGCCCCACCAGTGATGGAGGGTCCTGAGGCAGCAAGAAATGTGCTGGAACCTGCCCCAATCCCCTTGCCCCAGACCCCACCCCTACATACTCACCTACATGCATAAGACCCCCCTCTCAACCAGAGGCACCCACGTGTTTATACACACTCATTTTTGCCATCAGCTACAAACAGGCACACACCCACACATTCATGCACACATGCACACACACACACGCACCCATAGCTCCAGGCTCATATTCAGACTCACCCCATACACATCAAGTCACATACACACAACACTCACCCCCACAGCATGACCACAGGGAACCCTCAGAATCCTTCCTCTGTGCCAGGCGTGGTTCTGAGTACTCTACATGTATCGTCCTGCTTAATCTTTTAAACCCCTGCTTCTCAAACTATCTGTGGTGAAAGACTAGGCTTGTTTTTGAGGGGTTTTGTTTGGTTTTGTTTTTAATTTCCAGTCTTTTGTGGATCAGTATATGGTCTGACTGCGAACTCAACACCCAAACTTGTTTGCACGCTGTAACATGAGAGCAGTCCCTGATCTCACACTGGGGTGCTATGGCAAATATCACGATGCCACAAATATTTCTGAAATTTCTGTGCCTGTCTTGTCATAGACCAGAGACAAACAGTCCTGGGGCAGGCACCAATCTTGTCTCTAACTTGAGTAGCAATCCCCTAAAGCATGCCAGAAAGTGGACAACGGGCATTATCCCCATTTGATAATAAAAAAACTGAGGTACAGCATTTTGAAGATTGCCCACAGTTACGCCGCTAGTAAGGACAGGAGCCAGGATTAGAACCCAGGTGGTCTGTCCCAAAACTGTGCTCTCATCTTCCTACACACTTGGGCACAGAGTTATACTCACATACACACCAGAAGACACACACCTGCAAATACACATATGGACAAGCACTCCAGACACAAACACGCATGTATTTATCCACTGCAGTAAGCACACATGTATGCACACAGAAATACAGGTACAAACATACAGATGTGCCTATGCTAATTATTATGTCCCTGGGTGCTAGTGCACTGCCTGGCACACAGTAGGGACTCAGAAAATATTCTGAATGAATCAATACCCCCGTGCCCAATACACATTCCTTCCATAAAGACCTAGGAATATGAGTGCTTAGATTCTCATTCATGGAGGGACTAACGCCGCAGGTTAAGAGCAAAATCTTTGGGTTCAGGCAGAGGACAGTTCAAATCCTGTCTCTACCACCAATGCTGGGTGACATGGGGAAGTTGCTTCTGCTCTCTGAGCCTCAACGTCATCATCTAGAAAATGGAGACTCATTATTTCCTGAACAAATATGCATTGACTGCCTACGAGTGGTGGGCAGTTCACCAGGCGCTGAGAATACAGCGATGAACAAAACAGACAAAAAGCCTTGTCCACGTGGAGTTCTCATTCTGGTGGGGGCAAATAGGCGCTTAAACAACTGAATACAAATATGTTTGGTGGAGATGAAACCACGAGGAAAATTAGTGGGCGAAGGCTCTGGGGAGTTCTCAGGGCAGGGGGGCTGTGCTGTAATTTTAAAATAGAGGAGTGGGCACAGAAGAGTGCATAGTCTCTTTTTTTTTCTAATTTTATTTATTTGAGAGAGGGAGAGAGCACAGGAGTGGGGGGAAGGGCAAAGGCAGAGGGAAAAGCAACCTCCCTGCTGAGCAGGAAGCCCTACTCGGACCCGATCCCAGGACCACAAGATCACGACCTGAGCAGAAATCAGATGCTTAACCGACTGAGCCACCCAGGTGCCCCATCTAAGATTTCATTTTTAAAAAGATCAAGAACAGCCAAATCAATCAATGGTGGTAGAGGTCACGAGTGGTTATTTCCAGGAAGTGGACCAGGGAACTACAGGAAGGGCTGGAAACGTTGCACACCTTGATCTAGGTGGCAGTTACGCAGGTACAGACATAGGTTAAAAAAAAAAAAAATCATCAGGGCGCCTGGGTGGCTCAGCTGGTTAAGCATCTGCCTTCGGCTCAGGTCACGATCTCAGGGTCCTGGGATCAAGTCCCGCATCAGGCTCCCTGCTCAGTGCAGAGCCTGCTTCTCCCCCTCCCTCTGCCATTCCCTCTGCTTGTGCTCTTCTGTCTATCTCTCTGTCAAATAAATAAATAAAATCTTTAAAAAAAAAAATCATCAATTTGCAAGAACGGGGTGGTGAGGGAAAGCCTCAGTGAGAAGGTGACAGGCGAGTAAACATCGATGGGAAGGCAGCAGTGAGTGGCTCACTGGAGAAAGAACTGTACAGGCAGAGGGGACAACGGGAGTAAAGGCCACGGACACCTGGCGGGTTCAAGGAGCAGCGAGGAGGCCAGGGAGGCTGAGGCGGAGAGAACAAGAGTGGGAAGAACCGGGGTCCTCTGCAGGCCATGATAAAGACTTCGGCTTTTCTTTGAATGAGATGAAAGCCCTGGGAGTGTTTGAGAACACAAGTGCCGTGATGTGACTTTTAAAAGGATCAGTCTGAGTGCTCTGTAGAACGATGTCTGGGAGTATATTCGTCAGGGCTCCTCCAGAGAAACAGAACCACTAGCATATATATTAAGAGATTTATTTTGAGGAATTGGCTTACATGATTTGGCTGGCAAATCCAAAGTCTGCAGGGAGGCTGGCAGGCTGGAAACTCTCGGGCAGGAGCCGATGCCGCATCCAGAGGCGGATGCCTTCTTCGTTGAGAGCCGCAGTTTTGCTCCTCAGGCCTTTCACTGACTGGATGAGGCCCACCCAGATTATCAACGGTCATCTCCTTTACTTAAAGTCCATTGATTGTAGATGTTAACCGCATCTACAAAATACCTTCGCAGCAACACCTAGATGAGCGTTTGAATAACCGAGTATCTACCCGGGTCACATTGACACAGAAAACTAACCATCACGGGGGGTGGGGGTGGAAGTGGGGAGACAGGGAATTGCTCTAATAACCCTGAAGGGAGAGGATGATGGCTCGGAAAAGGCAGGAAGAGCAGAGGTGGTGAGAAGGAATTGGATTCCGGACACAGTGTGAAGGTAAGCCAGCATGACTTGCAGGTGGAATGGATGTGAAAGAAAGTGGGGATCCAGGGGTCTGGCCTGAGCAACGACAAAGACAGAGCTGCCACTAAGTGAGATGGGCAGACTACAGGAAGAGCTGGTCTGGGGTGAGACTGAGAGTTCCGTTTTGGAGATGAGGTAGAGGTGCCTCCTAAACATCAAGCAGGCAGTTGGACGCATGAGTCTGGAGTCAGGGGAACAGTCAGGAGTAGAGATACAAGAAGTCCAGGGTTTGGCCAGACACAAAGGCAATGACCCAGGGGCCAAAGCTGTGCCGATAATGAGATACCACCACACACCTATTAAGAGGATGAAAAGACAAGGGGCAGACTAGAACATATTTGCAAACTAGGGACTAGTACCTGGAATGTATAAGGAATTCTCAAAACTCAACAATTTCTTAAAAAGTCCAATCAGGAGCCACTCTGGAAAACAGTATGGAGGTTCCTCAAAAAGTTGAAAATAGAGCTACCATACGATCCAGCAATTGCACTACTGGGTATTTACCCCAAAGATATAAAAGTAGGGATCCAAAAGGGTACGTGCACCCC